GGGATTTCTGTCTGAATTTCCAATCTTCAGAAATCATTCATCATTCAGTGTTTGGTAGTACTTTCACAGGAAGAAAGTGTTAATAAATCACTAAGAACTGTTTTCAGATCGGTGCTGACAAATGTTTCTCCCTCAATTCTCAGTAAAAATGAGACAGACTCCTTAAGTGATCTTATTCCACTATTTGAAAAGAGATAAGTTTTAATCCACTTCTGAGAGGAATGGAAATATTGGTGTGATGCAAAAGATAGAAATGTAGTGGAAAAGAGAGATAGCCACTGAAGAAAAGCTGCCTACAGGGACATTTGTGCTTGCAATGTACCAGTCCTGCTGAAGTCAGTTTCTTAATTAATTCAGCAGCATGAGGCAATTCTGTCTCTAAGAGGGCTGATTCTGAATTTTTATCTGACAAAATAAACCCTGAGGTTTGCTTCACTGTGCTTGAAAAAAATATGGTTTGAGGAATCATTGCATTCTTAAGTAGATTTGAGAAATTCAAGGTTGGAACTATCAAAGTAACAGTCAATTTCACTTAGCATGTTCTGTAGATGACTGGCATAATAAATAAAATCTCAACTGTATCTTGCTTATAACTTCTCATGAGAAAATTGAGATCTGTGACATCACAGTTTTCTATATGCTTCCTTAAGAAATACCAAATGTTTTTTAATAGATCATTTTGCCATTTTTGAGATCTTTATATGAGAGCTAGCAGATGGAAAATAGTATTAGCTTCTTGCTTTCTCAAACAGATAGACATTTTTTACATCAACAGTGGTATTTGAGTAAAAACATTTCAAGTGGTTTATGCACTCTTTTCCTAGGATACAACCATGCCTCCTAAATCACAATGCAATTTTTTTTGCTTATATTTCATTGGACCAAGAAACATTTCCTAAAGACGCTGACTCTTTCTCCAAATTCTCTTCAGATGCATGTGTTTCTGTTCTAAAGAACCTAGTATATCAAAGATGATGCTATTTTGGAACCAGACAGAGATAATAGAAAGAGCAACATTACAAGATGCTTTTAGACTCCCTATTGGCAAAACTGGATTCCAGATATGAACTTCTAGGCAAAATAATATCTCATCGAAGCCAAAATTGATCTAACCATTCAGGCATTCTCTTTTTAAGAAGTCCCCAATATCTTATAAAATAAAATTATATAGTCTACATTTTATGAAAATAAAGTTAGTCCATTCATCCAAGACACATAGAGTAATGATGAACTAAGGAAGGCTGTGTCCTGGAATAAGAATAATAATAAATGACTATCTAAAGTGGTGACCAAATAAAGGATATTTTTAAAACATACAAAATAATTATAATACAAATGAGAATATGATAAGTAACATTAAAGAAGGACTAAAAGTTCCATGAATATCCCAGGAAGGATCACTCCTGTGCCTTTCTAAAGGTAAGAAATTGCATTGACTAGGACCTTGAAGTTAAAGACAAGGCATTGCATACCAAGTGAATAAATTATAATAGAGACATATACCAGGGGAAAAAAGATGTAACCTTTCCTTGTTTGTCACATAGGGTGTATGTTTATCATATAAGAATGTGAAGGGAAAGTCAGTATTGGACTGTCAGTAAAAGGATGAGGAAGTTGTTATTGATAAGGAATGCAATGCCACTGTGTAATTATATGCATGCATGCATGTGTGTGCATGTATGTTTGATGTATTTGTATGTGTATGTAGTACTACAGGGTGAAGAGATTTGACAAAATTTGAAACATTGAGGAGATTTATTTTGTATCTAGAGTAAATTAGATATAAAGAAAACAAATATGAACATATTGAAGAAGCTGTTACATAATAACGGTGATAGTATTAGTGACCAAACTAAAATAGTAACAGTGGAATTAGAAAACAGGAAAGTTATAATGGACATAGAGGAAAATACTGTGTGTTTAATGAAAAGGAAGTATTCAAGTATTACTCAAAGATTAACTAATTTTCAATTTTGCACTCAACCATCTATCACTTTTTAAAAAATATAAAGCTTTTCAATACATGACTGTAAGTGCCTAAAGGATAAATCTACATACCTGATGAAGCTAAGAATAAAGTTGGCTACAAGTCTGTGTTATCAGATATCTTTCTTCCCCAATATTGACATTAATCTGTGTTTTAACTAAGTCATAAGAATTAGACTATACGTACATATATACATTAATAACAAAGAAAAGTAAAAAAGACCCTCTTTCATGAATGAGTCACATCCTTTGTTTTCAATTTATAAATCACCAGTGGCAAAATGTTATGGAAATGATCAATCTTACTCAAGTCAAAAATAGTACTTGAATCAGAAAATTGACATCACCTGATTAATAGGGTTAAGGGCTGCTAACCTAGCAAATTTAATACATATATTCAGGTGTTAGATGTCAATGATAGAAAATAAAAAAGTCACTGACCCAACTGTCCTCTTTACAAATGAGATACTTGCTAGTATTTTTTAATTACTCTTTGGTGACCATATTTAGCAAAATCAATGACCTAGGTTTTGACCTTCAAATTCAGACACACTAGGGGAATCAGAGCAGGTGCCCAAGACATATAACACTCTACAGACACATAAAATTCAGTTTCAATTTCAATTAGCATGCAATGAAGGGCATTAACTGGTATATGGCCCTGAGTTAATGATTTGATATCAACTATTTTTTACTTTATGAAAATATATTAAGAAACGGCTAGAATGCCTTATCAACTTCTGAGCAAATAAGGAAAAGGTTCTTGGGGAAGAGTAACTCAACCTAGTGCTGAAAAGCAATTTGAGGTTAATCACCCTATCCCAAGGCAGAGTTACTAGCTCTCCAGTCTCCAGGGCAGAAGTTGAACCCTAATAGAGAAGGGATATTACTCCAGAAGGAAGTATAATGACTACTTGGTGAGTCTGTGATTGCAGGAGCAATGATCTGTTAAATGACTCATAATCCTCCAGAGAGGAACTCCCTGATCCAGAACTCAGTAATGAAAGTTAGATCAGGGACAGAACCATCTAAGTGCCCTCTCCTGCTGAAATTTCTCATGTTCAGGGAAACTGCAGAAACAAGTGGTCTTCTTTCTGAAGAACTTTCCATAATGAATGAACTATGTTCATCACAGAGTATGCAATGGACTTGTGGAAGAAACAAATACTCATAAAGGATGCTCAGAATGCTATACAAATAAATATATATAAAGCATTTATCTGTATGATTTATCATTCAGTGGGAACAAAAGCCAGTGACAGCTAAATCTTACTATTTAGCTCTAATTTTCTTCTATTTATATTCACTTTCCTGACAGTCTTCTTGAATATTTTAATGATTTCAAGGTCTTAGCTAAATGTAATTATTTATATTCACTATTTCATTGTTTTTATTCTTGATCTAGTGATGCATGTGAGACATTCTATGACTGCATACTAAGTCATACTTGGTACATTTTAATAGCTGTTATTTTTTTTTAATTTTTCCTGACATATATATGTTGAAATATCAACTTTATTTTACTAGCTTTATTTTGATGTACCCAAGAAAGGATTTTTCTCAGATGATCTGGACCAAAGTGTGACACCTTGTGTTTCTTGAACACTAGATAATCTCAGTTGTTATATTGTTTGATAAATGGAATTTAATTCCCTATATAGCTATAGCATTTACTATTCCCAAACACCTCAATGATAATTTAAAATGATAAACTATGTCCTTGGTTATAATTTTGATAATACCATTTTTTAATTCTCTTATAGCCAAATAATAAAAACTCATCATTTTATGAAAAAATGACTGCTCTAACTTTGGCAAGTTTTTTTTTTTCATATAGGGAACATTATTCAATTTTATTTCTCAAATGAAATGTTTGCCTAATATGTGCTAACCAGCCTATATAAGTTATGTAAATATTTGTTTTTATAAAAAAATCAAGCTAAATGTTTATTCTTCAAATATTTTTCAAAATTCTTTAAATTATCGTAATTTTAAAATAAATATCTTGACTATTTTATCTTAATTTTTTAATTTAGGAATTGTATTAAAATTCTTATTTATGAATTCCTTTGTTGCTTAAACATCTTACTATTTAGCTCTAATTTTCTTCTATTTATATTCACTTTCCTGACAGTCTTCTTGAATATTTTAATGATTTCAAGGTCTTAGCTAAATGTAATTATTTATATTCACTATTTCATTGTTTTTATTCTTGATCTAGTGATTTCCTCTCTTTTAACATACTTGTAATAGTTGTCCATAAAGGTTACTTTTTATTTTAAAGCAAACAACAATTATTAGAGATTTGCCATTCTAGGCTACATTGATAGTTCTGCTATTCTCAATTTTGTTTTGAGTGACAAAGATTCAAATGAATACTAATAAGCAATATTTGTGGCAAATATATTGTCTCACAAAGTTTCAGTTAAAGATAGTTTAAAAAATTAATTTAATACAGGGCCTCCCCGGTGGCGCAGCGGTTGAGAGCTGGGTTGCAAAGCTGCCCGCGGCCTCTGCGGCGCCGGTTCCATCCCCGGCTGCTCCCCGGCCACTGGAGGAGGGTCCCACAAGGCGCGCAGACCTCTCCTGCAGCCCGCTGCTCCCCTCAGCAGTGGACTTCGGTCCTTCTGCCTGCTCTGCTCCCCGCTCTGGCTCTGGTGAATTCTCTCACCCTCCCGCGCTTCTGACTGTACCCAGTGCATGTATAAACAAAACAAACAAACAAATAAATAATAAAACATGCCTCCATTAAAAAAAAATAAAATGTTAAAAAAATTAATTTAATACAGTAGTCAAGAACTTTTAATTTGCTGATTTATACTATGAACCATAAGAAAAGAAAATACTCATTTAAGAAAGTTCTTGACTAAGGTACTCATTTTAAAGTTTCTGATGGAATAGATAGTTACTAAACATACTTTATAAAATGATAGTTGATTGGAATACAGTTTTTTCCTTAAAAGAGGGGTGTTGGGGACAATGTAAAGAATTCTTGCAAAGAATTTGGTGTGTACCTCAGGAAAGAATGTTGTCTGAGTAGATTCCAGGTGTCTGATTTACACATCTGTTGACTGATAGTGGAGCCACTTGCTGAACTTGGGAGCACTAGGAGAAAGGCCTGGAAAATATAGGCAATGGCTGTGATTTTAGGTTGTGACTTAGGCATCTTTAATGTGAGGTAAGATAGAGAAATTTAAGAGGGGGTACCAAACTGTATTCCTGATATAGAGAAACAAAGAAATACAAACAAAATTTATTAGTAGAATAGTTATTTTCAGTTTTTTTTTAATTTCACAGAGATTACATTTTTTGTTGAGCTTGCATAAAGATTGATAAATATTTGTGAAACATAAAAAGTGGATGCCATTCTATGAGGGGAATACTACCATTTTCATGTGTTTCTGCAGAAAAAAGGTGGTAATCTAGCCTAAAAAGTCAGGTTAAAATCATAGAGACATCAATTAAATGCCCAGATGTTATTCTACAGAGTAGAATTCTAACAATTGTAGCAATTGAGTGAAAAACATCAGGCTAGTTTATAACAAAGACTCTAGCTATAGGGCAGATTAATATTCCCAAATTGTATTCTGTAGACCTGTGGGTATCACTTTAAGAGATCTGCAAGACCAAATATGCTCCAAGTTGCTATTTGCCTTTTTTTTTTTTTATCTGCCTTGATATTTGCAGAGATGGTGCTAAAGAAATGCTGAATAAAGCTGCTGGTGTCTTAGCTTGAATCAAGATAGTAGCACCAAATTGTATTTCCAGTCATTGAATTATTTACCCTTATGAATGCTTACTAAGAATATAAATAAACTACCATTTCATTTAAGAAGTCCTTTGAAAAAGCAGAAACTTATTATTCATTTTAATTAATCTCAAACTTTGGGTACCTATCTTTAAATTGCATGTCATATAAGAAAAAATATACATTAGTACATATGACACATTCCAAAATATTATTGTACATTTCTTGAGGGAAAAACAAAACAAAACAGGGGCCTCTCTGGTGGCACAGGCAGTTAAGCGCAGCGCTGTGAAGCTGTCGCAGCCTCTGCAGTGATGGTTCGATCCCTGCCTGCCTCGGAGCAACCCACATGGTGAGCAGACCTCTCCTGTCTTGCCCTCTGCTCCCTTCAGCAGTGTATTTCATCAGTCTGCCTGTTCTGTTCCCTGCTCTATCTCTGGTGAATCCTCTCAGCCTCCTGCGCATTGAGCCTGTACCCCGGTTCTTGTATAAATAAAATAAATCTTTAAAAACAAAACAAACACCTACACATTACTTCATTCTGAGCTAAACTGGCTGCTTCTGTAGTGTTGAGTATTTAATTAAACTACCCATAAATTTCCTGCCTAGGCCTCCCTTGTAACAAGACAAGCAGCCTGCAAAGGGCCTTGAACTGATGCCTGTCCCTCCCGAGCACATGCCTTAGGTAACAGCCCTCAGAGTCCCAAATACCTGTAAGTTCCTGATATATGGGCCCTGTTGTGATACGCAATCTCTCTCACTCAGGGACTTTCCTTTCGTGTGCCTCTTAGCTGAGACCCTCTGCTTAGTTTACCCCAACTCTCTTTTGACCTGAATTAACCAATCACTTTAGTCTAGGAACCCCAAAGCACTTTACCTGTAAACTCTAGTAAAGGCTTGTGCTGCCTTGGCTCTCTGCCCAAACCCTCCCTTGCCTCCCGTGTGGCTGCTAAGGGGAGCCAAGCATCTCCTGCCAGACCTATGAATAAGAATTTTCCCTATTTCATTTTCCCCTATGGTCTTCTCTTGAATCCTGCCTCACCACTGGACACCATGACAATTTAACAAAGTCACAATATGTAAAAAACCATAAACATAACAAGGCTACCTATCCACAAAAAAGCTTGTTGTACTACAAGTTCTTGGGTACCGTTTGAAAACTTGAGCCAAGGAAGAGTTCCCACCATTCCGTAACTCTTAGTTCAAACGATGTGTTTTCTGCTGAACACCAGCTTTCATTCATCCTGGGAGTTGGAATTTCGGTACTATCTAGACAGAGGTCGAACTAAACTTTATATAAATTCCAAATAAAGACTTTGAAACTTGAGTAAAGTGGCAGTAAAAAGTTGTCTTTTCCGAGAGGCAACTACTTCACAAAATTTGCCACAGCTTGTCTGAAGATTGAAGTTCACCCTGTTTGGCTCCACTGGAGAGAACTGATGGAAATTCTTACCTGACTTTCTCTAAATTTCTTCCCTTGAGCCTTTCCCCTTGGTTTATTTTGCTTTGTATCCTTTTGCTGTATTAAATGTTAGCCGTGGGTATGCTGAGTTCTATGAATCACCAAGCTTAGGGTACTCTAGGGGATCCCTGACATACCACTTTTTTTTCATGAAACATCTGCCACTAAATGAATAAGTAACAAGCTATGATAATTCAAATTTGACTCTTTAAAGATTTATTTATTTATTTATACACATATCGAGGTACAGGAGAGATGTGCGTGGGGGGGCAAGAGGAATCACCAGAGACAGAGCGGGGAACAGAACAGGCAGACTGACGAAATACACTGCTGAGGGGAGCAGCGGGCGAGACAGGAGAGGTCTGCCACTCCATGTGGAACCCTCCCCGCCCAGCCGGTATCGAGCTGGCGCTCAGAGGCTGTGGACAGCTTCACGGCACTGCGCTCAACCACCTGCACCACCAGGTGAGGCCCATATTTGACTGTTTAGAAGAATAGTTTTCAAAAGAAATAAGTAGCAAGTGATCCCACCTCTTTGAAAGAAACAACTGATAATATGTGTTATAATGCTAATATTTGAGCTTTCCAATAAAAATAAAACTTCAGGATATTTATACAAGAGTTTGAAGTATTCTATACTTAAATACTATTCTGACCATAATATTGTTGATGTTAACAAACCAGAATTTTTTCCAATATTGTATTATAAAATACTTTTCCTTTTGGGTGCTCTACATAACTTAGGTAACCATATTTTTCAAATGACTAATACATAATGTTATAAATCCTGAACAGGCGAAAAGTCAAAACAATGGATTCTAATGTAAGAGAACAAAAGTTTATTGATACAGTTTCATATTCTCCATCACAAATAGTCACTAACAAACTATCACTTGTTGAGTTTTGGTATAATATAAAAGTATAATATTCACAATTATCTGAAAATAATATTAAAATCAAAACTTATATACTTGTATGTGCAATATTTCATACAATATAATAAATGGAACATATACAGATGTGAGAATTCAGCTGTCTTCTATTAAATAGAAAATAAAAATGGAACTATAATTCCTAACTTCTCACTGATTTTTTTTAAAGATTTATTTATTTATTTATGCAAGCACTGGGTACAGTCAGAAGCGCGGGAGGGTGAGAAAATCCACCAGAGTCAGAGCAGGGAGCAGAGCAGGCAGAAGGACCGAAGTACACTGCTGAGGGGAGCAGCGGGAGGCAGGAGAGGTCTGCGCGCCATGTGGGACCCTTCTCTGGTGGCCGGGGAGCAGCCAGGGATCGAACCGGCGCTGCAGAGGCCGCGGGCAGCTTCGCAACCCAGCGCTCAAACGCTGCGCCACCGGGAAGGCCCCCTCACTAATTTTTTATTATTATATTTCTCATAAAATTGTCTCACCATGTTAATATTAATTTTACTTGAAATTGAATTAATAAAAATATTTCATAAATGTATGGTTTATAGTTTCAAATGCAATATATATCAATAGATAGAATTTTCATAAACAAAAACTCTTTCGGGCTTTTAATAATTTTCAAGAGTATAAATAAGTACTGAGAAAAAACAAATTGAGAACCCTCAGTGAAGAAGAATAGGAAAATTGGTACCTTGGAGGCTATTCAGGGGTTATTATAATATTCTCAGCGGTGACTAAAGGAATTTAAATTCAGCAGTCATGAAAAACAAAGAAAGGAAAAAAAATGATTTAGGACACTCATAAATAGTAATAACTGACCTAGATAACTGATTAAATATCTGGGTAGAAGAAAAAAGAAAGGTTGAACAAATCAAGTTTGTAAGTCTGTGATGAAGTGAATGTCATTATCCTAGTTAGGCAACAAAAGGAAACAAACAAATATAAGTATAAAATAGAGACTTGATAATGGGTAATGAAATCTATGAAAGCTAATGTATAAACCTTCTAAATATTTATCAGCAGAAAACTAGGTTAATTTTGTCACTATTCTCTATTGGAAAGGTGGCATCTTTTGTTAAAGGCATCAAGCACTGATCTTCAGAATACTATTACCTAAATTACTATAGCAAAGGTAAGCACAAAGAATGAATAAAATGGTTATATATAACAATATTCCTGTTTTATTCTAAAACTAGCATTCCAAACCCAGTTAAAGTCAATGAATCAGTTCCCTCTGGGAAATATTCCTCCTGTTTCTTTTTATTGGCATGTGTTATTTTTGTTGTTATTAGAAACACTGAAAAACTGTCAATTATAACTAATTAACACTTGCAGCAAAGGCATTTTTAATGATAATGATGTTTTTGTTGTTTTTTTTTCCTACCCAGGGGACTCCAGGATTTTCTTACAGGTCAGTTTTATGTTTTGGGCTGAAATAACTGAAAATTATTTGCAAAGACAACTGCATTACCATAAACGAATGCTTCTGGGCAATTTCAGGCATATCAGTGATCAGAAATAAACTCTTTAAAGAAATATCTTAAGTCAGAAGATTTATTTTTTCATTCACATACTTTGAGATTATATATGAAGCTGTATAAAACTTAAAAAGGAAAAAGTTGCTTTGCTTAGCGCATGGTATATAAATCCCAGTGTTTTACAAAGAAGCTAAAGATATTTTCTCTATGTTCTCATCAAACTCATCACCTTGATTGATGCTACAAATGAAAATAAGTAGGAGGGAGTAGGTTGCTAGGAATCTGAAAGATCAATAAATTAAAATAAACTGCTTTACTATTCCTTTTGTGGAATACTATTAGCATTCATATCGTTACCCAATAAAACTGTCACCTTAAATATTGTATCCTTAGAATAATAATTAAAATCTAATATAGTAAGGAATTCAATCTGCAAGCTTCCAATTTCTGTGTAATGTGATTAGTTGATCATGTAAAACTATTACAGATTATTATTGCAATTCAAGGTAATTAAACTATTTAAAGACAATGATTTAATGTGTATATACAGATATACAAAAATTCATACACATATACATAATATTTCTTGGTTTAAAATGCCATTTTTCATACCTTCCATCTATGGATAAAAACTTAAAGTCATTAAAGTCATATATACAATCTTTAAAAAATAGTGATAACCCCTAAGAAGCCAGGGATATACAGTGATATAATGACAATATAATGATAACACTTGTCCTTTATGACACTACTTATCAACTTTGTGAATGAATACTCATGTAGAAGAACAAAAAAAAGCAAAACAGAAAGAACCACATCAAACTCCATGCAAAAATCAAAGTCTGTTAAATTATGGATGCGATAAATTTTCCCTCTAAAAACTTATTTCCAATACTATATGATGGAGGAGTAAGTCAATATCACAATCCCAGAATTGCCTATTATTTAATAATTGAGAAAACATTGAACTCAAACTTACATTCCTGGCACAGTTACCTACATTTGTCTTTAATTGAATGTGAACCTTAGCTTCTATGGCAATACTTAGTAAACTTTATTTTGAGAAAATGAATAATTTAGAGTTGTTAGTGAGTATAAATGGACATTCAGTGTTTACCAATTGCTTAAGATTCCTGAATGTCTATTGACCAATTCCTAACTCAGATCAATTAAGAAAAAAATAATAACTTTTTCTTAGAGAATAGAGATTATAATGTGAATAATTAAAATGCAGATGGCAACAATGAAATAAAATGGCCTGATAAATAACTAGACCAGGGGCTGCAACAGAACAAAGATTCTATGCTTACATATTTTTCTTTCAAGATGCTGACTTCATGCTCTTTCATTTTAAATTGGTTTTCTCTAAGCAATAGAAATGTAAACACTGAACATTCTACTGTTGTTATGACTAAGGGCTTTCTCTCACATTGCTTGTCTTTCTTCTAGAGTCTAAGTTTGAACATTTTCAGGCATAAACTCTGAGGAAATGTGGCTAGCTCTTTGCCTTTGTGCTAGTTGACTATGATGTGATAATTCTTCTTAGCCTAGCATTGATCAGTGATTAAGGAACTTACTTATTCATGCATTCAGAAGCTTTGGGGCCAAGTTATTTGAATTAGATATTATTAACAAGGAGGAGAAAAGAATGTGTATATAGAAGGAATCATTATAGATCTACCATATATTTCTGTTTCTCAGATCTGGGTCAAAATTGTGCTGGCACTAACATTCCTATACCAATGTGTCCCTGGCTTCATTATTAGTCGTATTTTGGAAATTCTTATCAAATTAAGATATAACCTTAATATTGCTCTGAAATAACAAAATCTGACTCATGTGTATCCTATGACCTAGTTTTCTCAGTTAAAATTCAAATAAAATCCATATCTTCATTTGCTGCTCAAATTCACATTGATGATAGCATTCCTTTATGACAATATCTAATGCAGTGTTTGTGATTGCTGCCTGCCAAAAACCTACCTGCCTGCTGAGAAAATGTTGGCATTTATTTATTTATTTTTTAATATTTTATTTTATATAATTCTTACATCATTTTTCATTTTTGCACAATGTATGCATTTTCATTTTGGTTATTGGTTATATTCCCCATACAATTGTACCCCCCTTATTTTGACCCTAGTCCTTCCTCTCCCTGCCCTTCTCCCCCCCCCCATAGTGTGTCTCTGGTTTATAGTTGCTTGTTGATTTGATTTTCACTTTGTATTAATTAGTCTTTTTCCTGGTCCCTTATTTAGGTTTTCTAAATTCCTGCTATGAGTGAGACCATCTGGTATTTTTCTTTTTCTTTCTGACTTATTTCGCTGAGCATGATCCCTTCTAGCTCCATCAATGTTGCTGCAAACTGCATGTATTTATCTTTTTTGATTGCTGAGTAATATTCCATGGTGTATATGTACCACATCTTCTTGATCCAGTCATCTATTTTTGGGCATTTGGATTGTTTCCAAAGCTTACCTATTGTAAATAGTGCTGCTATAAACATAGGGGTGCAGGTGCCCTTTGGAATTAATGTTTCTGTGTCCTTTGGGTAAATACCTAGGAGTGGAATTGCTGGATCATATGGAAGCTCTATGTTTAGTAGGTCCAGAAATCTCCACACAGCTCTCCATAGTGGTTGGACCAGTTTGCACTCCCACCAACAGTGCAGGAGAGTTCCTTTTTCTCCCCAACCTCGCCAGCATTTGTTGTTGCTAATTTTTTTTAATATGCCTGCTGAGAAAATGAATAGAGCTTCCAAAGTTCTTTAGCAATATTGTTGAGACTGCCCATATTCAGATTCATTTAAGAGAATCAGTCTCTGTTAAACGTACATGGGAAAAAAGTAGTAAAATTTCTTTACATGCTTGCCACTCTTTCCATCCCACCCTCACACAAACATTGATACAGCTAATGAAAAATGCCACCTTGCCTGATTACTTTGTACCATTTATTAATCCCCTATTTTATGCTGCTATATTCTTAATGGTAGTTTTCATATTTTATATGAAGAAAACACACTTAAAGCAGAAATCAAGCCCCATATTTCTTTATTTTTCTAGCACTTAGTATATCCTCTTGTAAATAAAAGATCATTTTTTTTTTTATGATATATGATGGTGGAAACCAATGGAAGTAGAAAGAAAAATTGTATAGAATAAGCTATATTTACCCCATGTCAATATTAAAACAGTGAAAATTTCTATGCAGGCAAAGATTAGTAAGCATTCAGCGTTCTTGTAATCCATTCCTAATCTGTAAAAGATTTTTACAGGGAAAAGAGATAGAGCGTGAGAAAATGAGGAAGGGGAAGGAGTAGTAGAGAATATCAAGAGAGGAGGTGAAAAGTTTAGGTAAAGTGGAGAAGGCGTAAGAATAAAAGAATGAATCTCTTCACGGAATTGAGAGAAATGGGTTATTTGCTAATGTATCAACACCCCTCAGGGCTGATGTCTCCCTCCAGAAACTTGGAGAGCACATACTTAACCTACTCAGAGGAGTTGCAGCATCCCCTGGCTGGCTTCTGCTTTCTTCCTACGTGCCTTATTTAACCGAATGTTAACCTTTGTTTAAAGACAGTTTTCAGAATTGTAGGGCAAAAAGACCATGCGATATTCTCAGATAATACACAACCAGGCCGATTTAAAACTGTGTTCAAGAAACCGCAGTAGTTTGAAATATCACAGGAAAATCAAGGATCACAGGGAAATCAACAGCAGTGGGCTTCAGAGTCAGCAAGGGGAAGGTGCTGTCATGAATAAAAGCAAGTTTGGCGCCCTCTCTTTCCTTTCATCTCCTCCCCTCCAATTTCTGAAAGTGGAAACATATATATCTGGTCATTTATGTTGCCTGCGGAGCTCTAATGACTGCTCTGCTAGGGAAACCTACTGAGCTGGAGGTAGAAAATAATGACTATCAGGCAGAAGATGTCATCTCAAAGGTCAAAGAGCGAAACTTGCAAGGCTTCTGCATCGGATTGTAATGCTATCCGAGGCGGCTACTGAGGTGGATTCACTCTGGCACCAAAGTAATTTGTCTCTAAGCAGCTTCTGTTGAAGTAGAGAAACTCACATTACAACAGTCGTCACTGAAATGGGTTCCTAAGGGTCAGTGATCCAATTGCAGTTACAAACTTCCCAGGAATTCATAAATGCTGGAATCAGAAACCACAGATCACGCGCGCCAGCTCTGTCCTACTTACTTTGTTTTTATGAACTTACAATTGACTGTGTAATATTGCAATAGATTATTTTCCAAGTTCATTTATACCATTATTTTAATGGTGATGTTCACCACACATAGATGCCCTCAAACTTAAATCTAATTGAAGGATTGTATAAAAAAGAATTAGAATGATTGGGGTTTAATCAAAGAATGGCATATAGATTTTTTGGTATTATTTTTTATTAACTTAAGCGCATTGAGGATTATTATGGATATAATATAGAATAGGTCTCTAATTTAGTAGCCTTATATTAGAATTCACCAATCTGTTGTCAAGCTAGATTGATTATTAGCTTCTGAGCATCTCATGCACATTTCAATTTGCCTTTAAGAAATCAGGACATTAATCTCTCAGGAAAAAAAAATAGACATACTGTTGATCTCTGTAGGTCATAGAAGCAATTTTTTTTCTGTCTATTCCTTGCTTTCTAGATGTTGATGAAGGCAATTTGCATATATAATTTTTTTGTTTAAGTTTTGTTACAGATACAGTAGTTACTAAATAAGCTTAAGGTGAAGAGTAAAGGGATAAAGTGATTTAGCTAAACAGGTGTCAACTGGAGGAAGTGAAATATATCAATAGTACTATTTCTAAGTAATGTTAGAATAGTCAAGGGCAGAGAAAAACTGATTGCCAAGATATTTGTTACATTATTAGTGTATATATTTAAGTTGATATGAGTTTAAAAAACACTGCATGCTGGGCCTCCCCGGTGGCGCAGTGGTTGAGCGCTGGGTTATGAAGCTGCCCGCAGCAGCCTCTGCAGCACCGGTTCGATCCCTGGCTGCTCCCCAGCCACCGAAGGAGGGTCCCACATGGTGTGCAGACCTCTCCTGCCGCCCGCTGCTCCCCTCAGCAGTGTACTTCGGTCCTTCTGCCTGCTCTGCTCCCCACTCTGGCTCTGGTGAATTCTCTCACCCTCCCGCACTTCTGACTGTACCCAGTGCTTGTATAAATAATAATAAATAAATAAATCTTTTAATAAATAAATAAATAAAAAACACTGCATGCAACCTATAAAATTTGAAATTATTTGGATAGTTATCAAACAATATTAAAGGCACAATATGTAACATGTTTATCTTTGTCAATTTTTTAATTGAAGGAATATTATATAATAATATATAGTTTTCAAATATACATGATTCTAGGTCAACATATGTATATACTACATTATACCCACTAGTGATGCAGTTACAAGTGATCGGTCTCTCAGATAAGTGTTAACATGTTTGTCTTTCCCATATTTCTTGCAATTCCCTCTTGTTTGACCAGTTTTGCCTTCTTGCATTCCAAGGAAAACAGCCGTTGTTGAAAAAAGCAAGCTGGCGCCCACCCATCTCCATGCTGACCCCTCTCTCCTCCCCTTTGCAGACTCTTATAAATACCCCTGCACTCTGCCAAAGAGCAGGACGGTTGTTTTTCAGACATGAGTCTGCTGCCCTCCTCATTTGTCAACAAATTAAACCACTTTCCTTTTCCTCAAACTGTTTCATTTTATCGGCTGAGGGAAACTGAGGCCGGCTTTCAGTAACGCTACAAGTCTGAGTACACAGTGACCTGTACATGGCTAAGTGTCACTTAGGCATCAACATTCTACCAATGATTTCCTAAGATAGGACTGATGATTACACTCATTTATAAATGAGAAGTTGAGATTTGCCAACCTTAATACTAAATAACCTGCCTAACAGCCCACAGCTATAACCGAGGAGCCACTCTCCTTAACTCCACATCCTTTATCCTTAAACATGACCCTGCGCCATTTCCCTTAGCAGTGATTTTTTTGTTGTTGCTGTCCTTGGGAGGAATACCATGGAGTCGATTGTATCAGTCACATCATATCAACATGTTGGGGATCCCAGGGTGACCCTCAGTCTGTGCGCTAACAATATGGTTTTCTTCAATTTGCAAAATATGAAAACAGAACTTTTGTAGTCTAAGATTTAAAAAGGATCTATACATCATGTCACTTAGGTATGTGCTTCATATTTAAATTATTTTAATAACTATTTTGGCTTGCATGTCTAAGAATAATAATCTTACACATTCTGTGGTTAAATACATATGTGTGTATATATATTTCTGTATATATACAAAATCATATATAATCTCCAAACATTGAGATCTCTATTTTAT